TTCAAATGACAGGGCAGAAGGAATAAGAGTGGAACAAGTTATATTTTAATGAAAAATACAACAAAAATTAAAACTGTTAAAATAAACAAATTAAATAAACAATGCAATCTATATAAAATTATTCTAAAACTACTCATACATGCAATTAATCTTTAATCGCATTTTGTCCCGACATTCAACAATAAAAAGTTCCATGTCTTCCTGATTCTGAAAGACAAACAAAAACGGTTCTTTGGCCTCAAAGCTTGGGTAATCGTACACCTTTTGCACAGCTCTCCTCTGAGCTTCCTCCTCCATCTCCAGATAGCGTGGCTGGAACACTGCGCCTCTGAAGAGATTGATATTTACCTTCAACCACTCTGCAGCAGTTTGAAGATCTCTTGTTAAAGGTGTCTCCTTAAAAAATAATCATGAACCAAAGAAAACATATTGGTTTGGCCCATGCCTATATAAATGTATAAAACACAAAAGATATTACAACAATACATTGGAATACCTCCTCAATGCTCTCAAGAGTCCCTTTCAAATCAGGGGTCCATGGTGTTTCTGTCCTATAACAAAATATTTACATGTTAACCACACCTACAACAAAACATGATTAAGAAAGTTTGTCCAGTCTTGTGGATTTAAAGACCGTGGCACTGCAGAAAGGGCAATGAAACCAGTCACAACATTTTGTGCACTGGTTAAGCTGTGGAATGCACTGCCCTTTCTGAAATGTGATGTGCTTCTAAAATAAAGACAAAAGGCACAATGGAAGACTGTGATTCTTTCTTTACAACATGAGCAAAATATTTTCATAGCCATTTAGTGGCAATAAATTGCCAAACTCGATGGCCCGTTTATAAATAAAAAGAATCTTTAACTTAATATGCTTCCACAATAGCCTGCAAGATAGCATAAAAAACGCTTGCCAGAATTCGCTAGTTAACCTATCAAACTACTATTATTAACATATACTATTAATAATAACATACTTTGTACATCTAAAATGTTGAAACATGCCACAAACTGCACAGTTTCATATCAGCAATCTAAAACTTAACACAAGACTGAAACTTACCGTACAGTCCTCCGCCATTGTAAATAGTGGTTTGTCCCCGCCCATAAACTTCCGTCCAGAAGCTGGTGGTCTAGAAGTGGTGGCCTAGAAGTGGCGGTGGTGCGGCGCTGCAATTGGACATTTCTCGTTTGGCCACATGGCTCAACGCATTGAGCATGTGTCTGCCTATGATCCCTTTGAATCCAGCCTCCTCTGTTTTTGAGGTTTCGTAGATTTTGTTCCCTTGTGTTTCAATTGTATCAGTTTTCTGTGTTTAATTTGTATAAATATATACAATATATACATATATAAATATATACATAAACATGTAAACTGTCACGCCCAGCTCCGTCCGATCCTAATGTGTGCCACGCCCACCTCGTCACCTCGTGTTCATCCCTGATTGTTCTCACCTGTTGCCTGTTCCGTTTGCCTAGTCTTGTGCATGTAGTGTCCCTGGATGTCTCTGCTAGTTTGATTCTTGCCTATTAAACCCCTGATTACCCGTGAGTACGGCTTGCTCTCCTGCTTCCCTGCTCACCTGCCTGCCGAAACGTGGCATAAACATTTGAGTTGTCCTGTACGTTGCTCTAGAAATAACATTTTTTTTTAAATGTATTGAATAACAAGCATGGTGAGCAATAATAGAAAATATGTTTTTAAATCATGGACAGCTGCATTGCATGCAAACGTTAAACATAAAGCCTCTGGGACGTCAGGGTAATATAAAAAAGGTTTTAGGACATTACTAAATCCTCACAGAGCAAGTCAGCAGCAAGTTCATATTTGGACATGTCATATTCAACTGCATCATCCAAAGTCTCGTTCTCCCCCCAGTAACTGATAACATAAGTACCATCTCCCTTTTTCTTCAATTTCTCAATTTTTCCAGAAAAAAACATTTTAACTTCTTTTTTTTGGTCATAGCAAATGTGGCAAATATGACGTCCTACAACTTTCCCAAATAAAATGTTATCAGCTTCAAGCAAAGTGTTCTTATCTAAATAACTGAACTCTTTAAATATATCAATATGAGGACTTTTCAATTTCTTTTCAACTTTTTTTCTTTCTAATGTCTGTTTCTGCTGAGATTTAGCAGCTATTCTTCACATTATTTCTTCTTTAATTTCAGAAGCTGTTTTCCTGTTTGTCTGTCTTTGCTTTCTAGCATATGACACTGTGCAGCTCTTTTTATTGATTTGTCAAAAGCATTTGACACTGTTGATCATTGTATTTTAAAACTTAGATTACTACAGTCAGGACTCTCCGAGAGAGCAGTGGCATGGTTCTCAAACTACCTCAGTAACAGGTCTCAGTGCATAAAATCTGATGGCTTATGTTCCAACTTTGTTTCGGTGCACAATGGAGTGCCACAGGGTTCTGTATTAGGTCCCCTTCTATTTATTATTTACGTAAATAATCTTAGTCTAAATGTGTCAGATGCAAACTTGCACTTCTATGCTGATGATACAGTTATTTACAGCTGTGGTTTGACTCTTGTCAAAGCCATTGCCTCTTTGCAAAAAGCATTTTTTGCTGTCCAGCACTCATTACTTCAGCTTAAACTTGTTCTCAACGCAGACAAATCAAAGCTCATGCTGTTTTCTAAATCAAGGAAATTGGCCCAAATAACCCCATCAGTAATTACTCTTGATGGTAATAAAATAGAGTTGGTTCATACCTATAAATATTTGGGAATCTTAATTGATGACTCGCTCACTTTCAAACCGCACGTGGAGAATCTTGTGAAAAATTTGAAGTTAAAACTGAGATTTTATTTTCAAAATAAGTTGAGCTTCTCTTTTAATACAAGGAAGCGGCTTGTTGCTGCAACATTCTTGCCTGTGCTGGATTATGGTGATATTTTATATATGAATGCTTCTGCTCAATGTCTTCGAATGGTCGATAATGTGTACCATGCTTCACTGAGGTTCATCACTAACCGTAAATTTCAGACTCACCACTGTGAGTTATATTCTCAGGTAGGATGGCCTGCTTTGGTAAGTCGGAGGAACTCTCATTTATACAGTTTCACATATAAGGCGTTACTTGGGATGCTGCCTTCTTATATATGTTCCTTGTTTGCACTGAAATATGCTGGTCGGTATTTTCTTCGTCCGCATGGTTATTTGTTGCTTTCTGTTCCATTTGCCAGAACTGAATTTGGTAAAAGAGCTTTTGTCCATTTCGCATCCTTGGCTTGGAACAAACTGCAGAAGGAATGGAAATTGACTGAACTTATTTCACTAAGTGTCTTTAAATCTAAATTACGAATCCTTGAGGCTAAGTCCATAACATGCAACTGTTTCAATTAGATTAACTGTTATTTTATTTTAAATTTTATTGAATTTTATTTTATTGTATTATTTTACTTACTTTGGTATGTGTGTTGTTGCTGTCTGTGTTTGATTAATTTTTCTGTAACTGTGAGACATTTGCTGTTGCCTATCTTGGCCAGGTCTCCCTTGAAAAAGAGGTTTTTAATCTCAATGGGATCTTCCTGGTTAAATAAAGGTTAATAAATAAATATGACAAAGAAAATAAAAGTAATTTTTCCCGCTTTTCAGGATCAAGGCTGTCGAGGTAGTCACCAGTTTTATTTTTCTGTGCCCTTATTTTTGAAGATATAAAGCAAAGGGTAGAGTGAGGGGCACACGCTTTAGCGGCAGAAAACATGCCCATCACTTCCTCGGCATCAATGTTGTGGCACCTAGAGGATTCAGTTTCTTTAACTAAAACATCAGTGATGTCTAAATTAAAATATCGCTGATATTGCTTTTCAAGCACATTAACAATTAACAATGTTTTCTACTCAACATGGTAGAAAACATAGAAATGTCAGATGGCTCTGCCTGAAGTTTCTGAGTACTTGTGTTTTCAACAAATCTTTGTCAAAAAAATCTTTGTCTGTATTCAATGTTTCCAGAGGGGTATCAACAAACTGTTTTATTTTATCAACAACTTTTTTAATTACTTTGATACCATCAACATGACTTGCAGTTTAGGTAGTAGCAGAGGTGTAAAAAGTGGACATCCATGGCCCAGATAATAATTTGCCAATAAGGCCTAAAATTTCCACCCTTGCAGTTGTTGAGGAAAAATCTTTTAATATGGCTTCTTGCAAGCCACCACATGAAACAGTTCCTGTCTTAAAAAAGTTAAAAAAACATCATAATTACATGTGAGTTGCTCACAAATATTAAATAAAATGTGAAGTCTGTTACCCCTGTATCTTGGTATAAGACCTTTGGGTAAACCAGACTTTTCTAAAAATGAAATAAACCCTTTGGGATCTCCTTTTCCATCTTTATATCTAAATTTCTTGACTGCCAGCACAATGTTGGCAGCAAAACAGTCTGAACCAAGAACACTTCCTTTGACAGATTCAAGCCCTTTAAGGGTTGAACGACAAGAACTGGCGACTGTTTCCAAAGGATGCAAATGGCAATTTAATTCATTAAAGGAAACACCCCAAGCTGCTTCTAATAAAGATATTGTGGAATGGTTAACTGCGACACGATCAGTTAAAGTGTTTTTGACATTGTAAATTAAACGCTGTCGAATATTTTCAAATTCACAGTCATAAAAGGCAGAATATGCTGAAGCAATACAATGAAAAGACTCTTCTATATGTGATTTATAATCTTCTGCAGTGCCACCAGGCAAGAGGGCCAATGATATAATCAAACAATCACTTGAGCTTGTTACATGAATTTCATTAACATGCATACCTTCTTGGGTAGTTGCATCAAATCCCAAAGTAAGATCTGAATGATTTAAAATAAATTCAGCAACCTGAACATCAGAAATAAGCCCAAGTTCCCGAACCATTTGTTCGACAGTTGATCTGTGGGGAACGAGGTGACAGTAAGACCTGATTGTTGTGCAAATTTCTGGATCAAAACAGGTACATTTTTGGTTGGTACATTGTTTAAAATACTGTCGTAAACAAACATTCTCAAATCAAATATAAATGTTTTGCCTTCTTTCTGAAAAATGTTGCTCCGATTGTCTTTCATTAATGCAATTTCTTCCTCCAAAACAAGTTTTTCATTTTCTAAATCTCTGATTTTTTCACCCTGCTCTTTAACCTTTTCTTCTAGTTGCACAACAGGATCAGGTGCACTGGTGCTACTGCTACTGCTATTGCTACTACGAAAATGTTTGCATTTATAATAATGTTTTAACAATTTGTGTCTTTTCTTCTCCTTAGCCAATTCAAGCTTTAATTTGTCTACTTCAGGCAATTGATTAGTCTTCAGTTCCTTTCCTAACAGGTTAATAATAGCATTTTTCTTTGAAATGGTTGCCTTTTTACGTTTAATGTCTTGATTAAGACGTTTCACACAAAAAGAACTTAGTTTTTTTGAATGATTGCAATGAAGACTGATACTTCTTTTTCATTTCAACACTGATTTTTGAAACAAAATCAAGTCTTTTTAAAAAATTTTTACACCTTGGTGTTAAAACATATCTTTTGGATGAACGTGTAATAGTGTCACTAGGACTGGCTGTAGAAGTAGATGGAATTGGTGAAACAAAAGAACATAAATCAACAGGTAAAACATTACTACCAGACAGGTCAGATGTAGATGGTTCAATGGAAGCAGAAGTACTTGCAACTGGTGTCTCCTCTTCAGCAGGGGATGATGGTGCGACTTCAGTTAAAAGAAAATACTTTGTGAACTGTTCACTACAAACAAGTTCATACTTCGTTCGATCACTTTCCCGAGATAGGTTGGGGAATTTTTTAATTGTCTGATCAACCAATTGATTTATCTGCCATCGCTGAATGATGCATGGAATGCCCAACACAGATTTGACTTCACTAATTGTTCTTTCAGCATGTTGGTCACAGTTTAAGAAAATATGTAAAACATGTCCATTCTTAAGAGCAGGAGGCTGATGATGAGGAAGATCGGCATAATTTTCTAATATATATTTTGCAGCAATGCCAGCTGTGCTCGGAGGTGGTCTCTTTTTCGGAGCCATGACATTTTTGGAAGCAAGTTACACAACAGCACCTGCAAATCAAAAAAACATTTACATCAAAGACTGCAAAGATTCATTTACACTAAAGTTTTCTAATAAAGTATGCAATATATCAGCATAAGTCACAAAAATCAACAAGCAGGAAGCTGAAAATCATACAAAACATACCTATCTTTCATCATAAACCAAAATTGTAGTGAGAAAAGAATATATAATGT